GAGCACAAACCCTGGGATCATGCCATCGACCTCACCCCTGGAGCACCGGCCACCATGCGAACCAAGGTCTACCCCATGTCCAAAAACGAACAAGAGGAACTCAACCGATTTCTCGACGAAAATCTCAAGAAGGGGTACATCCGACCATCAAAATCGCCCCTCTCGTCCCCCGTCTTCTTCGTTAAGAAGAAGGACGGCAAACTCCGTTTCGTTCAGGACTACCGGAAACTCAACGAGATCACCGTGAAGAACCGCTATCCCCTCCCCCTCGTCTCCGATATCATCAACCGCCTTCGAGGAGCCAAGTATTTCACCAAGTTCGATGTTCGATGGGGCTATTAACAACATACGGATCAAGGAGGGAGACGAATGGAAGGCAGCATTTGCAACCAACCAGGGTCTCTTCGAGCCGTTGGTCATGTTCTTTGGTCTTACGAACTCTCCAGCTACGTTCCAGGCTCTTATGAACTCCATCTTCTCTGACCTCATCGCCGCAGGAAAGGTCGCAGTGTATCTCGACGACATCCTCATCTTCACGGCCACTCTCGACGAACATCGAGAAGTTACCCACGAGGTTCTCCGCCGTCTCAAGAAACACGACCTATACCTTCGCCCGGAGAAGTGCGAGTTTGAACGAGAAGAGATCGAGTATCTGGGCCTGGTTATCCGAGAGGGAGAAGTGTCTATGGACCCCGCCAAGGTTGAGGCCGTCCGCAACTGGCCTGTTCCCCGTAACCTCCACGCCGTTCGTGGCTTCCTCGGTTTTGCCAATTTCTACCGTCGCTTCATCAAGGATTTCGCCACTGTCGCTCGCCCGCTCAACGACCTCACAAAGAAGAATGCTCCCTGGCAATGGAACGAACCTCAACAGCAAGCCTTCGATACCCTCCGCAACGCCTTCACCTCTGCGCCTATCTTGACACTCTGGGATCCTGATCGCCCCACCCGTATTGAGGTTGATGCCTCCGGCTTTGCCACTGGAGGAGCGCTCCTCCAGAAGCACGACGATGGACTCTGGCACCCTGTCGCTTTCCGCTCCGCCTCCATGCAACCCGCCGAACGCAACTACGAGATTTACGATCGAGAGATGCTCGCCATCATCGAAGCTCTCAAGGACTGGCGCCACTTCCTTGAAGGACTCCCAGAGCCATTCGAGATCGTCACAGACCACTCCAACCTCGAGTACTGGCGATCAGCACAGGACCTTAGTCGACGACAAGCACGCTGGGCCCTCTACCTTTCCCGTTTCAAGTTCCTCCTCACCCACCGCCCCGGCAAGACTAATACCCAAGCCGACGCCCTATCCCGCCTCGACATCCATCAGGTCACCGACGCGGAGGACAACAAGCAACAGATCGTCCTTAAGCCCGAAATGTTCGCCAAGCTCGCCGCCTCTAGTATGGTCGTCAACCCTCTTGAAGATCGCCTCCGCCAAGCCAGTGCTCGGGAGTCGCAGGTGCTCGATGGTCTCGCCCAACTCCGGAAGACAGGTCCCCGCCGTCTCACTAACGGCCTCGCTGAATGGGAAGAGGAAAACGGATTGGTCTATTACAAGGGTCGCGTCTACGTTCCTCCGGATGACGAGCTCCGTCGCGATGTCCTCAAGCAGTGTCACGACGATCCCACTTCTGGTCACCCCGGCGTCCACGGAACCCTTGAACGTGTCGAACGACAGTACTGGTGGCCCACAATGCGTGCCTTTGTCAAGAAGTACGTAGAGGGATGCGACACCTGTGCCCGGAAGAAGCATGCCCAACACCCTCGCGCCTCGACTCAGCCGCTCGACGTTCCCGAAGGTCCTTGGGAATCTGTAGGAGTCGATCTCATCACACAGCTTCCAGAGGCCCACGGACACGACGCCATTATCGTTTTCACGGATCACTACAGCAAGGTTCTCCACGCCCTTCCCTGTACCTCTGACATCACCACTGAAGGCGTCGCCGACATCTACTATCGAGAAGTCTTCCGTCTACACGGCCTCCCACTCCGATTCATCAGTGATCGCGGTCCCCAGTTCGCCTCCAAGGTTATGCGCACCCTGCTCAAACGTCTCGGCATCGAGTCCAACCTCACGACGGCATATCATCCCCAAGCCAATGGACAGACTGAACGCGCTAATCAAGAAGTCGAGAAATATCTCCGACTCTACGTCAGTCGTCGTCAAGATGACTGGGATAAGCATCTTCCAATGGCTGAGTTCGTGATCAACTCCCGTGTCCACTCTGCTCACAAATCGCTCCCCCTTCGAGGTCCTCTACGGCTATATTCCCCACTTCAACATCCCTATCGGCAAGCGCACTGACCTCCGCCCTGTCGACGAACGAGTCCAGCACCTCCAAGAAGTCAGGAAGGACGCCGAGGCAGCTCTTCGACTCGAAAAGGCCCAACAGAAGGACGCATACGAATCCGGCAAACGCTCCGCTCACCAATTCCAACCCGGCGACTACGTCTGGCTTAGTGCTAAGGATATCCAGATCAAAGGTACCGACTCGCAAACTTGGTGATCTCCAACTCGGTCCGTACAAGGTTATCGAACGCGTCGGCGACCTCGACTACCGCCTCGAGCTTCCCCCGTCCCTCTCCCGCATTCACCCTGTGTTCCACGTCGACAAGCTCTCCCCCTGGAAAGGCAATGATGTCAACGGCATTTTGCCACCTCCGCCTGAGCCCGTCGAACTGGAGGGAGAGCTTGAGTACGAGGTTCACGACATCTTGGACAGTCGTTGGAGAGGTCGAGGGAAGAATCGCAAACTGGAGTACTTGGTTAGTTGGAAGGGCTATGGGTCGACGGACGACACTTGGGAACCGGAGGAGAACTTGGAGCACGCGCCCGAGATCGTGAAGGAGTTCCACCAGCGACACCCTTCTGCACCACGCCGAATTTCCGCTACCATCTTCAGCTCTCTCCCATGGCGCCCACTCGAGAATTTCACCGACGCCCCGCCTACCCGACTTTGACTGGGAACTGGGACGCCGCCTACCGTTGGTCATCGAGGACGATGAGGCTTAGAAGGGGGGTAATGTCGTGAACAGCCGGTATAGCCCCTATTTTTCATCTTATCTTATCTAATCCGTTTCGCATCTTATCGTTCCACTTTCCTTTACTCCTTTGCCCTCCTTATTCCCTCTATGGACTCTTTCACTCATGGAACACTGCCTCGCATTGCCCTTTGCCCTACTCTATGGTCCTTATTGTTACGCACTGCCTTCTGACACACTCTGACACCTTCTTGTTCCATTATATGTTTCATTCTTGTTCTTCGCGCAGCCTTCGCGCAGCCTTCGCGCAGCCTTCGCGCAGCCTCATGACCTTTCTTATTGTTCTTCGATGTTTCACCATTTGTTCGTCATTCTGACTCACTGCGGCTATGTAGACAGTAGAATAGGTATATAAGCTAGGTAGTCTGCTCTGTATTTCCTCAGCTTGACCTCTTCGTCAATTCATCACTCTAGTCTTCACTCCAAACCGTCGCTCATCGCTCTAAGCTCTCTCGTCGCTTTCACCGCTCCTCGTCTCTGGTCTTAGTTTGGGTTTAGTGTTCGCTCTTCGCGACACCTCCGACTCTTCGTCTTCGAGCTCGGACTCTTCTTCGTCGTCTGAAAGTGAGGACGATAAGAAGAAGAGAAAGAAAAAGAAATCCAAGAAACGCTCACGCCGTAGATCCCGGAGCCCACCCCAACTGGCCAAGGTCCAAGATTCCAAACCTTGGGATGGAAAAGTGAACCTCGATAACTACCTGCGATTCCGCGGGGAGGTTCGTGATTGGGCTAGGGATGGCAAAGTTCGCAAAAAGAGCCAGGTGTCAATGGTTTCGAAGTTCTTGGAGGGTCACGCATGGAACGTGTACTTACAAGAGGTAGCTCACAATCCAAGGGCTTGGAAACTGTCGGACTTCATGGACCTGCTCTTCAATCAATGCTTCCTGTCGGATTACCTGACAACTTTACATGAACGAATCAACGAATTCAAGCAAGGAAACTTACAGTGTTGTAACATTCCTTGAGCCACCATATTCTCCCTTCACAATTGACAACATATTTTCTGACTTATTGGTGGGACTTCTGTACACACTAAAGCTAGACCTTTAAAGTGTATAATACACCAGTTTGCTTGGAATATCACGGGCGCGGAAGGGGAATAACAAGGCAGGTGAGGAGGAGTGCCAATTTCGGAGGTGTTACGTTCCTTGAGCCACCCCCATAGCTCTACCATGATTTCATCGTTTCCTGCCCCGATAAAGGGCATTTCTTTGAACAATAAGATATCCAACTTAAAACTATCTTACTTATAGGGCTTCGAATATAGCTGCTGAAGAGTAATGGTAGAGGTCAGTTGAGCCGGTGGTGCCAAGCGCACGGGAAAGTTGGCACCAATCAAAAATCTTGATTTTTGGTGTTGCTCTTTGAATTGTACCCCATACGCTGCATGGATTGCTCTGAAAATGTGCAAACATGTAGATATATACTAGAGACACATTAATGTCGACTTAGGTGCCGTCTCGATAAAAAGTGCAGGAGAGATCAGTGGTTGGCTCAAGGACCGCTACTGGCTCAAGGAACGTTACAACACTGTACCTGTTCGGGAATTCGCTCGTCAGCTCCAGAACATGTGTAACATGGTCGGAATTGCCAAGGGAGCGACCTGAGTCCACCACCTGTGGTCTGGGTTAGACGCGGTACACCAGCACGAGCTCTGGTTGAAAGGTCTAAACCCCGAGGTCGCCAGCTGGGATGACGTACTTGAGGAGGCTGAGAACTCCGAACGAGCTCAGCGTGTCGTTGCTCGTCAAGAACAACACTCTCAGAACCGCGGTCCCCGAGACAACCACAGAGGTAGCGGGGGTACTGGTGGATCATCTTCGAACGGAGGCAATCGCAACAATGAGCCTTCGGGATCTAGACAACGAAACCCTGAGAGGGAAAATCAGTCTCAGGACACAAATACCAACAAGGGAAACTCAGCTGGTTCCGGCCAGACCACAAGCCAGACTAAGACCAAGATGTCAGATGAGGATTATAGGAACCACCTGGCAAACGGACTTTGCCTGTACTGCCACGAAAAGGGGCACCTGGCAAGACAATGTCCAAAGAAGAGCACGGTCAAGGGAAAGACTGGCTCTGACAAACCTCCCGGAATGGCAATCTTCAATCTGGAAATGGGTTACGACGATGACCAGCCGGTGGAGGAAATGGACTCTTTACCATTGGCGTCAATTTCCTATTGTAACTACGATACGTCGGACGAGTCAATGTATGAATTGTCCAACAAGGACACCAAGGAAAGGCACGAGTTCTTCCACTCGCGTAACGGCTGGATCGGTCGCCTGATGCCTTTTGAACCTGAGTGGATGGAGTTCGACGAGAGCAGACCACCCCGAAAACAATTAGGTGACGCACTGATTGAAAAGGCCGAGTGGATCTTGGATTCTTCGCAACCCTACCCGGGGGATGAGCTCAACATCACCTCTAGGACTGGGGTTGCCTACCGGTTCAAGGTCTGCAAGGTAGATGACAAGACTTATCAAATCCGAGACTCGTATTCCGGCGTTTGCGTGGATGTACCTGCATATCGTCTTCGCCACCCTCAGTTCCGCATGGCTCGTTGGTTCGCTCACCACCTTGCCAACGAATTGGACATCGAATTCTTGGGATCCTACCCAACGCAAATGGGCAACGCCCTCGAGGAACTGGTCGAATGTCTCATTCGAGACGGCGGACCCACGATGTAGGAGGTGGGTCCTGTATAGACTCGGTTCGTGGGTCCTCGCTGACACTCGATGACGATGGTGGCTGAGTCCTGACTGATTGGGGCTGTGACCTCTTCCCGGATAGATCTGGCTCAAAAAGTTCAGTATTCTTCTTCCTTCCTTCACTTCGAGTCGTCGATCTAATGGGCAGAAACCTCCGCTCCTCCAGCAGGTCCGAGTTCTGCAGTGTCATCTTCAGATTCTTCAGCTCAGCCTTAATCTTCACGTGCTATCGAAACCGGTTGATCAATCACAGGAAAATTTTCATGGGCAGCAACCAAGTCGGATATGGTGTGCTGCCCTCACGGTGGGCTCCAGAAATGTAGGTCGTCGGGTGGCTGTGAGCTTGAAAGAGAGAGAAACGATAGATTCAGATATGCATAGATAGGTGTATGTCGAGGTCGAGACGATAATGTACGAGAGAAAACCTGACGAGTCGGTCGAGCGCAGGCGCGTGATGACTAAGCACGCACATCGCAATCTACCTCTACAACATCCGACATTACCACCGAAGGCGTTGCGGACATCTACTATCATGAAGTGTTTCGCCTCCACGCGCCTCCCACTCCAGTTCATTGGCGATCGAGGACCTCAATTTGCTTCTAAGGTCATGCGCACTCTGCTCAAGGGCCTCGGCATCGAATCCAACCTCACGACCGCCTATCACCCTCAGGCCAACGGACAGACCGAGCAGGCCAACCAAGAAATCGAGAAGTATCTCCGCCTATATGCCTCTCGCTGACAGGATGACTGGGACAAGCACCTACCGATGGCCGAATTTGTGATCAACTCCCACGCCCACTCTGCTCATGATCGCTCTCCCTTCGAAGTCCTATACGTAGGGGTGGTCAAGGGGTTTTAAAACCCCCAGAGTAGAGGCCAGGGGTAGAGTAGGGGGTAGGGGTAAGGGTTTTGATAAAAATCAAACAAAACCTATTTATTTCAACATCAATATATAGTTTCTACTAAATAACTGCTGTATGGGCAATAAAACACATCAGAAATATTAGATTATAGACTACTGTAACTAATGGTTAGTGCCAAAATGCTTAAAATCCTTGGTCAAAACCCCCAGAGTTGGGGGGTAAGGGTTTTGGGGGGTGGGGGGGTAAGAGTAGGTGTCCAGCTACCTGGGGGGTTACCCCTGTCCTTCCCTACCTATACGGTTACATTCCCCACTTCAACATACCCATCGACAAGCGAACTGACCTCCGCCCTGTCGACGAGCATGTTCAGCAGCTACAAGAAGCCCGCAAGGATGTGGAACCTGCCTATACGTCTCGCGAAGGCTCAGCAGAAGGATGTGTACGAGTCTGGCAAGCGAACAGCACATCAGTTCAAGGTTAGCAACTATGTTTGGCTTAACGCGAAGGACATTCAGATCAAGGTTCCTTCTCGCAAACTCAGCGATCTCCAACTCGGGCCCTACAAGATCATTGAACACATCGGCGACCTCGACTACCGTCTCGAACTTCCCCCTTCTCTCTCCCGCATTCACCCTGTGTTCCACGTCGACAAGCTCTCCCCCTGGAAAGGCAATGATGTCAATGGCATCCTGCCACCTGAGCCTGTTTGAACTGGAGGGAGAGCTTGAGTACGAGGTTCACGACATCCTGGACAGTTGTTGGAGGGGTCGAGGGAAGAATCACAAGCTGGAGTACTTGGCCAGTTGGAAGGGCTACAGGTCGATGGACGACACTTGGGATCCGGAGGAGAACTTGGAGCACGTGCCCGAGATCGTGTCATCGTGAAGGAATTCCATCAACAACACTCCTCTGCACCGCGCCGGATTTCTGCCACCATCTTCAGCTCTCTCCCTTGGCGTCCCCTCGAAAACTTCTCCGATACACCGCCTACTGACTTGGACTGGGAACTGGGTCGCCGCTTACTAATACCTGAGATCATCGAGGACGATGAAGCTTAGAAGGGGGGTAATGTTGTGAACAGCCGGTATAGCCCTATTTTTCATCTTATCTTATCTTATCCCGCATCTTATCTTTTCCTTTACCCCTATCTTTTCGCCTTCATCATTTTACGGACTCCTTCACCATGGAACACTGCCTTGTATTGCCCTTTGCCCTACCCTTATTGTTCTTATTGTTACGCACTACCTTTCATTGCCTTCTGACTCATTCTGACGCCTTCTCACCTCATTCTTGTTTCATTCTTGTTCTTCGCGCAGCCTAAGGCTGAGCACGGGTGCACCTGTACAGGTACCCGCACCCTTGACACAGGTACCCATACCCCCAAAATCCATACCTGCACCCTCACAGGTATTTCCCAACAGGTACCCAAAGGTAAACCTGTAGGTACCTGCTAAAGAGATCAGTTAGAAGGCAATCCCCTCAATTATCCATGACTGTGGACCTTAATTAATAAGTGAATTCATTCTCTAATATGATATACAAGGATTAGGTTTCATTTTGGGAAGTTTTGAAGCATTATTACAGAGGACATGGTCACAAACAGGCTGGCGGGTACCTACCCACAGGTACCTGTGAGGCTAAAATTGATACCTGCACCTTGCAGGTATTTTGACTACGGGTTACCTGGACCCATGGGTCACATACCTGCAGGTTTCTTGGCGGGTCGGGTCACAGGTACCTGTGTACGACCTGCACCCACGCTCAGCCTGACGAGCAAACACTATATACTCCAGATGTGTACTCTAGAACTTACCAGGAGATAGATGTAGTGAGGCTAACTTAGTGGCTAGTAAAACTGGTTCTAAGACAGTTATCGATTAGAGACCACAGAGGTCAGTATTTATACTGTACAAGGCGTGTGACGAATGTGACATAAACTACCTAAATATAGTAAGTGTGACAGAGGCTGTGTGAGGCCATACAAATGAGTAATCGAATGAGTAAGCCGTGACTACGTATGACTCATAATGACGCAATGATGAGTAATGCATCATATGATGTTCCAGAACATTCTACGGTGGAACATTCCAGAAGAGTCTGGACTCAGTCGTACTAATCTAATCTAATCTAATCTAATCTACGATAAGATATGATAAGTTCAACACTCCCCCTCGCTAAGTGCAGCCTTCAATAAGCGCGCTGAGCGTATGTCAATTGCTTAGTGGAACCGAAGTCCCAACTGTTCTCGGAACTGCTTGAACTTGACATGACCAAGAGGTTTGGTAAACATGTCTGCAGGGGTTGTCATTTGTATCAACTCGAAAGGATTTCAACGTCTCCTTCTTCAACACATTCGCGAATGTAGTGATAGCTGTCGTGAACATGCCGGTATAGCCCCTATTTTTCATCTTATCTTATCTAATCTGTTTCGCATCTTATCGTTCCACTTTCCTTTACTCCTTCGCCTCCTTATTCCCTCTATGGACTCTTTCACTCATAGGAACACTGCCTCGCATTGCCCTTTGCCCTACTCTATCGTCCTTATTGTTACGCACTGCCTTCTGACACACTCTGACACCTTCTTGTTCCATTATTGTTTCATTCTTGTTCTTCGCGCAGCCTTCGCGCAGCCTCATGACCTTTCTTATTGTTCTTCGATGTTTCACCATTTGTTCGTCATTCTGACTCACTGCGGCTATGTAGACAGTAGAATAGGTATATAAGCTAGGTAGTCTGCTCTGTATTTCCTCAGCTTGACCTCTTCGTCAATACATCGCTTCAGCCTTCATCTGCATTCGTCGCTCATCGCTCTTATCTTACTCGCCGCTCTTATCTGCTCCGCATCACTGGTCTTTAGTTTGGTTTAGTGTTCGCTCTTCGCGACATTAGGTCAAGCTACCCCCGTGCACTGGCAACGCCGATCGTTGTCCCTGCATTCCGGATCCCCTGGCACTCTGGTTGACCTGCCGATCAGGTCTTACTCTGGCAACTCTGGTTTTCCGACACCGTCAAGATTAGCTGCGCAGGATACCCACACTTCTTCGCCTCTAGTAAAGACCTCAACCCTGACAAGTGGTTTGGCATCGACTGCCACCTCGATAGCAAGGAAGAGGTTGTAGAGTGTGACAGTTCCCCCTGCCCCTACCGCCTCAGTCTCCGGCCCACCTTTCACCAGTTACGACGCCTCCAGACAGCCAGCTTCTACGCTGCTGTTTGCACCTCCGACAACGCCGTAAAAGCCCGCGAATTTGCCGAATCCAGGAAAGAAGAATCGAAGAAGAAATCCCCACCAGTAACTCCGCCGCCAACCGTCACACAGCTCTTACCAGAAGATTCTCCCCAGTCTTTCCATTCCGCCGACTCTACCCCTGCCCCAGTAACAGCAACCACCAGCACCGCACCAAAGTCCTTTCGCCCTCCGTCAACATCATCTGAAGAAGACAGTGAGGAAGAGGACGACAACGACAAGGAAGACGAATCCGAAGAAGAAGACTCCGAAACACCCGTCCCCTTTCACGTTACCTACGCCGCGTTAGCAGAAGCCCTTCCCGCAGTAACAAGTCTCCGCCGCTCCGGACACTCCACCCCCACCACAGCCCTTACCCTCACTCCTCGCCGCGCCCTCACACCACTTCCCATCCCCAGGGAGTCGGAGGACACGTCTGTTGCCCAACGCTCAGATAACGAACCTCCCACTTCCACCTTATCACCATCTTTATTATCCCCACCCACTTCTCTGCCGCTCGTCCAACAAGACCCCGTTACCAAACCCGCAAAGCCTATCCCCGATCTCAGTATGTCCGACACCACTCTTCTCAAGTTGCTTGCCGAGCAACAAGAGACTACCAGGCGTATCCAGCAATCCCTGGATAAGCTCACGGCTGCTAAGACCACTTCCACTAGAAGCCCCGTCAAAGCGCCTGAGCCCTTCAAGGGTGACTCTGGTGATACCCAGCGATTCCTCCGCTATTTCACCAACTGGGCCTCCGCCGAGTCCGAACTCAAAGGAGATGACAAGAAGTGGATCTCAGCTGCCCTCTCGTACCTTCAGGGTGCTGCTGCCTCCTGGGCTGTCCAATACCTGGATCAGATTGCCGCCCACGAGGCTGCTGCCGA